TTTAATCATCAAAAGAGTAACAAATGCAGTTTTCCAAAGGGGGCACCCAGATTTGAACTGGGGACCTCTTGATCTGCAGTCAAATGCTCTACCACTGAGCTATACCCCCTTCTGTCTCTGTATTCTGGTTGGAAATTTAAACACAACACACCTCAAAACCTTCTTGATTTTTAGCGCTAATAATCAAAAACTTGACTTGGTTTAAATATTTAATCATCAAAAGAGTAACATATGCAGTTTTCCAAAGGGGCACCCAGATTTGAACTGGGGACCTCTTGATCTGCAGTCAAATGCTCTACCACTGAGCTATACCCCCTTCTGTTTTTTAGACTGTGGAACGACAGAAATCCACCACAAACCCCAAAACCACTTGTTTTTATGTTGGAAATATTCAATCATCAAAATGGTGATATGTACAGTTTTCCAAAGGGGGCACCCAGATTTGAACTGGGGACCTCTTGATCTGCAGTCAAACGCTCTACCACTGAGCTATACCCCCTTTCAAATCTGTAATCTGATTGGAAATTTAAACACAACACACCTCAAAACCACTTGATTTTTTTGCGCTAACAATCAAAAACCTTGACTTGGTGGAAATTTTCAATTATCGAAATGGTGATATGTATAGTTTTCCAAAGGGGGCACCCAGATTTGAACTAGGGACCTCTTGATCTGCAGTCAAATGCTCTACCACTGAGCTATACCCCCTTCTGTCTCTGTATTCTGGTTGGAAATTTAAACACAACACACCTCAAAACGACTTGATTTTTTTTGCGCTAACAATCAAAAACCTTGACTTGATGGAAATTTTCAATCATCAAATTGGTGATTTGTACAGTTTCCCAAAGGGGGCACCCAGATTTGTACTGGGGACATCTTGATCTGCAGTCAAATGCTCTACCACTGAGCTATACCCCCTTCTGTTTTAGACTGTGGAAAGACAAAAATCCACCACAAACCCCAAAACCACTTGTTTTTATGTTGGAAATATTCCATCTTCAAAATGGTGATATGTACAGTTTTCCAAAGCAGCACCCAGATTTGAACTGGGGACCTCTTGATCTGCAGTCAAATGCTCTACCACTGAGCTATACCCCCTTCTGTATCTGTATTCTGATTGGAAATTTAAACACAACACACCTCAAAACCACTTTATTTTTTGCGCTAACAATCAAAAACCTTGACTTGATGGAAATTTTTAATCATCAAAATGGTGATATGTACAGTTTCCCAAAGGGGCACCCAGATTTGAACTGGGGACCTCTTGATCTGCAGTCAAATGCTCTACCACTGAGCTGTACCCCCTTCTGTTTTCAGACTGTGGATTGACAAAAATCCACCTCATACCCCAAAACCACTTGTTTTTATGTTGGAAATATTCAATCATCAAAATGGTGATATGTACAGTTTTCCAAAGGGGGCACCCAGATTTGAACTGGAGACCTCTTGATCTGCAGTCAAACGCTCTACCACTGAGCTATACCCCCTTTCAAATCTGTATTCTGATTGGAAATTTAAACACAACACACCTCAAAACCACTTGATTTTTTGCGCTAACAATCAAAAACCTTGACTTGGTGGAAATATTCAATCATCAAAATGGTGATATGTACAGTTTCCCAAAGGGGGCACCCAGATTTGAACTGGGGACCTCTTGATCTGCAGTCAAATGCTCTACCACTGAGCTATACCCCCTTTTGTTTTCAGACTGTGGAATGACAAAAATCCACCACAAACCCCAAAACCACTTGTTTTTATGTTGGAAATATTCAATTATCAAAATAGTGATATGTATAGTTTTCCAAAGGGGGCACCCAGATTTGAACTGGGGACCTCTTGAACTGCAGTCAAATGCTCTACCACTGAGCTATACCCCCTTCTGTCTCTGTATTCTGGTTGGAAATTTAAACACAACACACCTCAAAACGACTTGATTTTTTTTGCGCTAACAATCAAAAACCTTGACTTGATGGAAATTTTCAATCATCAAATTGGTGATTTGTACAGTTTCCCAAAGGGGGCACCCAGATTTGTACCGGAGACGTCTTGATCTGCAGTCAAATGCTCTACCACTGAGCTATACCCCCTTCTGTTTTCAGACTGTGGATTGAACAAAAATCCACCTCAAACCCCAAAAACCACTTGTTTTTATGTTGGAAATTTTCAATTATCAAAATGGTGGTATGTACAGTTTTTCAAAGAGGGTACCCAGATTTGAACTGGGGACCTCTTGATCTGCAGTCAAATGCTCTACCACTGAGCTATACCCCCTTCTGTTTTTAGACTGTGGATTGAACAAAAATCCACCTCAAACCCCAAAAACCACTTGTTTTTATGTTGGAAATTTTCAATTATCAAAATGGTGATATGTACAGTTTTCTAAAGAGGGTACCCAGATTTGAACTGGGGACCTCTTGATCTGCAGTCAAATGTTCTACCACTGAGCTATACCCCCTTCTGTTTTCAGACTGTGTAACGACAAAAATCCACCACAAACCCCAAAACCACTTGTTTTTATGTTGGAAATATTCAATCATCAAAATGGTGATAT